AATTTATATGGTGTACTCTCTGAGTTGCGAAGACATAAACATACATACCCCGGATTATCTTAGGAGGTCTGCTGGTCTTACAATAGAGTTTAAATAAGGGTTCAAGGTGTCCAAAAAAAGTATATTCTTGCTTGATAATCTTTTCCAAAGTAGTTCATACCGTGATTACGGGAATGTGATCCCTTGAGGATACGAATTCGAAAAAAAAAAAAAACCCGACGAAACTTGTTTCTAAAACACCCCCCAGTACATAATCAGGCGTTTGAACCTGGCCATCCCGATCATTTAAGGATGGACTAAAAATTCGAAAGATTAAAATTTAATTTCGTACCATGTACACCATGTCTATAAGGGTTGTACGCTTTATACGGCATGATTCTTTTTCGTTGCAAAAAAATCTGGTTAATGTTAGCCGAATTTTGAATGTCAAAAGGCTACCGTTAAATTACTTTTCCCCTCCGCACCGCGTTTTGTTGTTATTCATGACTTCACGACTGGTCGATTAACGGTTTTATCAAAATGTATTCAAGGACTGCCCTAATTACCTGCGTACAAAGGTTTTGTTGAAATTTTCCTTTAGTAAAAATAAATATAATCTTTTCTTATCACACTGGAATACGTGCTGATGTCAAATGGACAAATTATTATCGTAATTATAAAAATCACTGCCAAATCATCTCAGTAATCAGAGGTAGAATATTCAGAGACTTTGAAAAAATGTGAGCTATTGGTATTTGATTCAGACACCAACTCCCCATCCCAACCACAACTTTACTCATATTAAATTCACAAGTGTTCGTGTTCCGTTTGACCAATTAATGTCTTTCAATTAATTAAGGTTTTTAGTTGAGATAAAAATTGCAAAAAGGAGGGAAAATTCAAAAGGTGGGGTTGAGATGAGAAGTTAGTGTCCAAGTGGATCGAAGTCACGATAGCTCAAGTGATAGAGTAGCGGCGTTTGTAGCCGAAGGTCGTGGGTTCGAATCCCGCTCGTGACACTGACTTTTTTATCTCAACTAAAAACCTTAATTAATTTACTCATATTTTCGAATCCCGCTCGTGACACTAGTTCTTTCATCTCAACCAAGACCTTTGATCAAAAGTATGATTAATTTTTAATCAATACGGTCAATTATGACGTCTAAATACAGTGGAGTAATTTTTGTGTTAAATCAAGAACTTTTCATATGAGGGTCGTATTATTTTGATATCCAGTAGAGAAATAACAACGAAAATTGTTCCCTGGTCCGTCTAGTAGTCATAAATATACTTGGACTCCGATGAAAGATTTACTCAGATGTACTCAAAACTATTTTGCTTATTGGCTACGATAGTTCAAATGTCAAATCTATAACGTAGTCGTATATCGGCAGTTCTTTTGAGCAAACATGTAAAGTAAGGTTTTATTTTTATAAAAACAACTTATAAATTGTGAAATTACTCTTACTTATTAAACAAAGTAGGTCGACTTATTTTTGGAACAGTAAACTTATTATTATTGCGTTATGTCGATTTTCTTTTATTCACTAATTTCGTGGTCCGCTTTACCAATTAATACATTACAATTAATTAAGGTTTTTAGTTGAGATGAAAAAAATGGATGGAGGTCACGATAGCTCAAGTGGTAGAGCAGCGGCGTATCTAGCCGAAGATCGTGGGTTCGAATCCCACTCGTGCCATTAACTTTTTTTCATCTCAACTAAAAACCTTAATTAATTTTCTTTTATGTTTATCACTTCCTTTTCTTTATAAATTGAGACTGAATATAGCTAAATGTTGAAACTTGGACGACAGGACAAAACATACAGTTTAGGCTAGGTAGGAGGAGCTTAAACATCTACTACAAAAAAGACTTTGTAGATAGTCGTTTCAGATCATCACCCTCGCAGGTTTGGTGGATCGGAGGTGTTTCGGTTTTTCGCGTTTCGTTTATAATATTATTTATTATAATTAAGGCGAATGCGCAAAAAAGTTATCAAACTAAATTAAAATGACGTGAGGTTTCTCGTTGATATCTGGTTGGTGATGAATTAGCAAATTGGGCTTTTACCGATCATCTTGGTTAGTCGTTCATCGCTGTTTTGGTGGATCGGAGGTGATTAGGTTTTTCGCCACCTTCAGTAATATATTATGTACGTCAAATCAGGCGAATGCACATAACAGTTATTAAACAAAAATAAACTGACGTGAGGTTTCTCGGTAGTATCTGGTTAGGTGATGAATTTCCAAATTGGCCTTCTACGGGATCATCTTGGTTAATCGTTCATCGCTGTTATGACCTGTCAGATGTGTTTTGATATGCGCTTTTTGACGCGTCTGACATACCAAACCTGCGAGAAAAGGCGGTCCAGGATTATAGGAAATGACCAACGGATTGACCCGCAGACCTCAAGAAAATAATTGTTCAGGCCAAGATTTGATACCAAAAGGATTATGAGTTGAATAAATTATTTTAAAAAAAACTTAGTTGTTTGATTCTTTATATTATAAAATTTTCTTGTTGGGAGGTTTATATATGTTGTGTTTCGTGTTGTTTGACTTCGAACTGAAGCCCATTATTTTCTTCGGCATCTTGCCAGGTTTCTGCCTATTCCCTATGTTCCCCTTAATTAACTTAACTCGTGCCGGCTTTAATTAAAACCCAGGCGAGATCCTTTGTCCATCTCCGATTTCCCTGTCTCGCATGTCGCCTCTGCCCTTGAAAACCCTCGCCTGTGAAGTTGTCTGAGAAGAACGGCCGAGAAAAGCTCGTGTGCTCCGCCGTCCCCCCGGCAAACAGAGCGTGGAGGAATTATATTTTTACGCCGCGGTTCCTCGCTAATCCTTGGGGATGGTTCGTGAAGGCTGACAACGGCTCGTTAACGGCCAAAAACTTTCACCCCCTTTTCCTCTGGGCCAATGGCTAATGAATGGCCCTAATGGGCCGGCCAACAGCTTTTCACATGTCTTTTCAACCGGCAAATCCGACAATGTTCGGCATGTTTACTAAATTTCCACTGTTTAGTATGCGAAGCATTCCTTTGTGCTAAGCTTAACATTGAAACTTTAAAAATGATCTTTTACATTCTTTTATTCCAATTTATCTGTTTTCATATTTCTTTGGAACCAGTACTGAGTATACGTAACAGTAAAGATATATAATTAACCCCTTACAAAACAAAGACATGTTGTCATTATTTTTCAGATTGCTTCATTTTCTTGTCAAGTCGCAAACTCACAACTCACGCAAACTGACCTCACTTTACAAACTAAACCATAGATATTTACCTTTGTTCAATGTGATCAATTTGATTAATATCATTTTTGTGGACGAAATTGATGTACCAATTTCCAAATTGATGATAAATTGACCAAATAATTTTCCATCTTCGTTCTACTACTAAGGTTGAAAGTATGACGCTGAACGTGAACTTAAAGTTGATTTGGTGAAATAGTATCTAGTCAGTTTTGATGAAAACCGCTGTGTAATGGGCTGACCGCACCTTTCTTTTTCTACCTTCACGTCTTGCTAAATCTATTGTCTTTAAAAGGAGGGCTCGACAAATGCGCAGGGCCGCGCAATAATAGACATATTATATCTTGTTTTCGCCGGTTTAAAGAAAAAATAGCTGCAAGTGCTATCTTCCCTTGGACATAAATTATCGTCAATTAGACCCCGAGAGAAAAACAAGACATTTCCGATTCATTTTGAATTTTTAAATAATTTATGAAGGGATTTGTAACAATATCTGCCCGAGAAACCTGTTCCTCTCTATTTTATCTTTTAGAAGAATTTCATTTTTTCTCTCTCGACCCCTTCCCTAATGGTAGATGTCACGAAAAGGCCCAATCCTATTAAGAGACTGGAGGAATTTCTTCACGCGCTGCAAATCTTCTTGGTCAGTCTTGTGATACGTTAAAAAAAAAATTTAAACAGTTAACTTTATCAATAACGTATCATATTTTTAGAAGAAAAATAAAATAAATTTTATTCTTGGGCATTGGGCCCTATTGAACGTATGCAAGAACTACTGTACTACTAAATCTTATTCCAACTGGTCGCAGTAGATTTTAGTACTTTGAAACATACATGACATTTAAGGCAAGTATTGTTGATATTGTCAATTAAGCTTTACAATCTGTGAGGAAAAAATTGTCAGCTTTATTATTGGTTATCTTGGAGATAGTCATATCGAGACGAAATATCAAGTTGTCAGCCTTTTTCGACAAACGACTCCCCATGGGAAAAATATTGTTCTAACCAAGTGGTTTTTTTAAAGCATTACAACAAGAATAGATCTTGTTTGTTGTTCTGATTACTTTATAAGATATTTTGTATAATTCGTGGTTAGAATGTTTTAAGATAAATAGATCGTAGAGTGAAGACTTCTTTCTTTCTTTTCTTTCACGTATATCTTTCTACCTATCTATCTATTTGTCTACCTATCTCTTTTCTCTCTCTCCTTCTCTCACTCTCCCCTCTCTCTCCTTCTCTCACTCTCCCCTCTCTCTCTCTTTCTCTTCCTCTCTCCCTTTATCTTTCACTCTCTCTCATCTCTCGAAGATAAGGAATGAAAGTGTCAAAAACAGCGAGACTGGCAGATCAAAATGGTTAGGGATGGTTAGGGTCGGCAACGACCAAAATTATGGTCCATCACTCTACATACACGGATATTCATTGAGCTTAACTATAAAATTTTTTTGTGATACATCATTTAAATATTGTGTGTTACCGTTGTTTAGGTAAAGGCTGATAAGAGAAATCGTGGAAAAAATTAAATGAAAAAATTAAATTTTTCCCCACGAAAAGCGTCCCTTTTAGCTACTTGAAGAGACCAAACCTGGTGGGAATTTGCAGCTAATTGAAAGAGGTACAACATTGATCAAATACCTTTGCAATGAAAACTGAAACGGAAAAATCCGGTTTTATCATTCAGATAAACAAGACGGCAAACACTCCACGGTTAAATTTTTTCCTAAACAAAACCTGACTCACTGAGATAAGGGCCGCGAAATATTTATCCTCTCCATCAGTTTTATTACCGTTTCCGAGTCGCAAAGGCAAAGTCCCACGAGCTCTCCTGGTCCAAAACAGTTCTCGGATACCAAATTCAAGTGTTGTTCTCAAACAGAGCGATGATACGGTGAAGGTTCACCATGCTGGAGCACTGCAGTTCTGGTTCCGGGTGTCGTCAGGTCGCGGGGAAATTGGCCAACAATGTCTGCGGCATCTTCAGCTGGAAGCACAAGTACCAAGTGGCCAAAGTACAGCGGAGGAACAATGTAGACCAACCTTCCTTCTTACCGGTCAGTCTCAAAATGTCAATATGAAATATCATTTTCATAAATACACTGCATAAGCTGTTAAGAAACACTATATCTAACTTCTTAAGTATATATTCTTATAACCATTTAGGCAATAAATATTTTATTTACCATGCTTAGAGTCAAGTGATAATATTAATTCGTATAATTTGTACATGAAAACTTAATTACACTAATTATGTAATGATTAGTTTATTTGGCTCGTTTCCATCACGGAACTATACAATAATAAACATTAAAAAAATTATTAACCTAATCCTTCTTTCAATTTTGTTTTTATATTTGTCATTTTTTAACTTAATTCCTTCAAACGCCCTCCGTAAAAAGGATAAATAAAATTCCTTCTTCTTTTGCTTTCAGTTTAATTCTAAAGTTAATTTTCTTTTGTAAATATTTGTCGTCCTATGTAATGACCACGATGTTATGTTGTTGTTGTTTAGTTGTGTTTTTGTTGACATATTCTATCATCTTTAGTCACTTTGTAAAATAAATCGTTTGACTGTCATTACATTTTTCTTTGGTAAACACAAAACCATTAGATGGTCCTGCTTTACAAGTTTTTCTGCGGTTACATACAACTTGATGGTCATCTATTCGTTTGTCTATCGTCATATTGTAATCAAAACCATTTCACGGTCTTTCTTTAACTTTTTTCTTTCGTAAGAACAAAACCATTTGATGGTTATTCTTTACAGTTTTTTTATGTCGTCATTTGTTCGTTTGTCTATTGTCATATTGTAATGTAAACCATTTGACGGTGTTTCTTTAATTTCTTACGAACCATAAAAAAAACTTTAATGGTTATCCAGGTTTTTCTGTACTACCTCAAAACTATTGTTATAATCCATTGAATACTAAACCTCTTTCTTTTGTAAGAACAAACCCATTTGATGGTCATCCTTTATAAGGTTTTTTCTACGTTTACACCAAAACTATTTGGTGGTCATCCATTCGTTTTTCTGTGGTCCCAATGTAAGGTTAACCATTTGACAGTCTTGGCATTTTCTTTTGTGAGAACAAACCTATTTGATTGTCATCTTTTCTGTTTGTTTTTTTCTACGTTTACCCCAAAACTATTTGGTGGCCATCCATTCGTTTTTCTGTGGCCCCAATGGAAATTAAATCATTTTGACAGTCTTTACGTTTTCTTTTGTAAGGACAAAACCAGATCATACGTTCGTTTTTCGATGGCCCTATTGAAAACTAAGCCATTTGACGGTCTTCCTTTGATGAATGAAGTTTGATCAATCATTTGATGGTTTTCCTTTACCGGGCTTTACTTTACTGTAATTGACAAATTGTATCGTGTAATTTCAGGTTGTCCTATTTCCTTCAAACGCTATTACGTTCTGTTTGTTTCAGTTTATCCCGAATTGGTCGTGTTCGATTTTCCTGTTTTTACTACAGTGGAATTTTGTCTGGATGTTTTTCTATAATGAATAATTAATTTCCTGGCGTGGGTACCATTATGTGCAAATCGTAGGAATTAAATTAGGAAGGAAATCGTAAATCTATTCTTTTGAAAGAGCCTAGCTTACTGGCAGAGGAAGTGTTTGTGGATTTTGGCACTTTACGACTTGAATTGTTTTTTGGCTTGTCTGAAACTGGTTAATTAGTTGTTTTATTTTCCATTGACCGTTATGTTGTATGAATATTCTCGATTGGAATGAATGAAACAAGTCGGTTTTGGACCGTTTGATCCTTTGATTTCTACGAAGTTTTAAATCATGTGGAACTTCCCCCCCAGTGTATTTCAGCAGTAGCTTTATTAATAACTATATAAATTTTATGAATTATATAACGAAATTATATAACAACTCGAAATTACAATAATTTTATCACATTTAATAAAGGAACATCAATTAAAAAGCGAAGACAATTAACGTCATTCCTTTTGTTGATTTAAATTTATTTACTTAAGCGTTCTTCTCTCTTGAAGTTCTCTTACAATTCCACCCGACTTCTTGTAATAGTGAGAAGGATTGCTTCATTGAAGATGATAGTGTTCATGGGGTAGCCAAGATTACAGTTGAAGGACATCTCTTTTTATAATTCCTTGATGTAATTACACCACCCTCGTACATAGTTGCTGCATGAACTTCCTTCAATTAATCCTGTGTCATAACAACTTCCACTCCTTACTCTCTTCTTAAGGCGAATCAGTTTTCTACAATCTGTTCAGTTTAAAGAATAAAAAATATTTACAATTATTCTTAGAACTATGCTACAAGAATTATAATCAATTTTCTCGCATTAATATCTCTTTTTTTAGTTTTATACAGTAAAATGACAGTTTCAGTGTCCATGGGTCAAGTTTTAAACGTATTCGGTGAAGTAAAGGACGAATCGTCTTAAAAACCATACTTTCCATTATAATTCTCAAACAAAATGTGGTTAAATTGTAGCAAAATTGTCTTGTCAATTGTTTTCATTGTTGTTTGAACTGGAGTAAATGAAGTTTAAAAGAAAAACCTTCAGTTCCTTTGTCTTGCTTTCGAAAAATATATTGCTTTCATTGGTACTTTGAAACTATTATTAATAATTCACCAGGTTAACATATATGAACATCTACTTATCAATTCCTGCATAGGAGTTGCAGATCTTGTTCAGCAATCAACTCGGAACTTCGCCATAGTTGAAACCATAAGTTTTAGTATTATAAGTAGATGTTCATGTTTGTTAACCTTGTGGATTATTAATTATATTTTCAAAATCCTAGTGAAGGGGATATATTCTTACAAAAGGTCGATGAAAGTGTGGACTTTTTCTTTTCTTTCAAATTGGCCTTATCCCTGATTTTTTTAATAATAAGTAACAATATTAAAGGGTGGTTTCAATTATTTGGAGATAATTTAAGATTGATTGTATGATTAGTTTCTAGATTGAAAATTGTTCAGCAAAATTGTCTTATTAACTTAGGATTGACTTCTAGGATCATGTTTTTAGTCCTAACTGTCGTGTAATATCTGCCTTTTAGTAAGGGAATCATTAAAAAAAAATATTGAAATGTTTATTTCAGACCTGTTTTCGAATAAACATTTGTTTTTTGTAGGATTGCATTTCCGATTAAATTTTCTCATAACGAACAGTTTATACTAGGTGTGGTCTGTAAGATGTTTTTTCTATTGTTGTGTAAAATGTTGTTTTATTCGATTACTTTTTAGATATAGTATCTTTTCTAAAAAGTTGTGCTTAGCTGGCAATCTGTTGTAGGATTATTGTTTTGCGATGGACATGTTTTGTACAAAGATGTTTGCACTTAGAATTGTCTTGTATGATTCGTCTTTTGGATGAATCGTCTTGTGAAATGATCTTTTTACATGGAATTGTCTTGGAGGATTGGTTTATTCGCTGACATTTTATAAAATGATGTTGTTACTTTAAATTATCGTTAGGATTTTGTTTTTTCAGCATAAATGTGTTGTAAAAATTTGTTTTTGTTGGAATTGCCTTGTAGGATTTTTTCGATAGAAATATCGAACGTATATATTTCAATTTTGTATTGGAAATAGATTCAATTCTTTTCTATTAAATTATCTGGTTTTAAAAGTTGATTTGCATGATTAGTTAGGTTGACTTATGTAGTCTACATTGATAGACCATGGATAATAAGTGACTAAGAGATATTTTCTGTTCTGGGCTCGATAACAAAATAAAATCCGATTGCTTGCCTGGCTTTCGACCTTCAAGACTATCCTCAGGCCCTAACTATTTTATATAAATGACTATTATTACAAGCTAATAAGTTACAGTATCGTAAAATTTACATAAGCAGAATGAAAATAATTTTTTACATTTTTTCGGTAAATTTGTCAAAGTTCAAATCAAAAGACAAACATGTGTAGGTCATGTGTTAGAACTTTTAGTGTTAATTTAAAATTGTCCGTTTTATCCACAAAAGTAGATTACCTCAATCACTTGATTGTAGATCCAGACGTTAAAAAAATAGGATTAAAAAACATTAACTGGTACAATTTTGTTTTTTCATCCAACTCATCCAGAAACTATATGTTAACGAAATTATAGTTGAATAGTTGTTTTTATCAAGAATTTTGTTTTTTAGGTTTTTTTCAATGGATATGTCTTGTAAAAAGTTGTTTTTATTTGGAATCGTCTTGTAGGATTATTTTCCATGGAAATGCATTGTAAAAAGTTGTTTTTACTTGTAAATATTTGTAGAATTTTAAATATAAATTAATATAAAATTTTTTTCTTGTAAATTTCTTTTAGGATTTTTTCGATAGAAATGTCCTGTAAAAAGTTATTTTACTTGGAATGTCTTGTAGGATTTTTTCATTAGAAATATTTTGTCTAACGTTGTTTTTATTTGGAATAGTCTTGTAGGAATTGCTTTGTAGGATTTTTTTTATACAAATGTCTTCTAAAAGTTTATTTACTTGAAATGTCTTGTAGGATTTTTTTCAATAGAAATATTTTGTCAAAAGTAGTTTTATTTCGAATTGTCTTTTAGGATTTTGTTGTTTCGATAGAAATGTTTTTTAAAAAGGTTTTTTTAGTATGTAGGAATTGCTTTGTAGGATTTTTTTTATACAAATGTCTTCTAAAAGTTTATTTACTTGAAATGTCTTGTAGGATTTTTTCAATAGAAATATTTTGTCAAAAGTTGTTTTATTTGGAATTGTCTTTTAGGATTTTGTTGTTTCGATAGAAATGTTTTTTAAAAAGGTTTTTTTAGTATGTAGGAATTGCTTCGTAGATTTTTTTTATACAAATGTCTTCTAAAAGTTTATTTACTTGAAATGCCTTGTAGGATTTTTTCAATAGAAATATTTTGTCAAAAGTTGTTTTATTTGGAATTGTCTTTTAGGATTTTGTTGCTTCGATAGAAATATTTTTTAAAAAGGTTTTTTTTATTATGTAGGAATGGCTTTGTAGGATTTCTTTTATACAAATGTCTTGTAAAAAGTTTATTTACTTGAAATTGTGTTTTAAGATTTTTTTTCGATGGAAAGATGTAGTAA